CTTCAGCAATATTGTTTTGAAGGTTTCCGGCTATGTTTTTATGTCTTAGGTAATATAACACAGGATGTTATGACAGTAGATGTGTCTTTTCCGGAAAAGTGTGGTGTGAGCTCCCTCCGCTCTCATTAATTAAGGATTAATCACACATCCGCTGACGTCAAAAAGGCTATTTATATATTCTAAACAAGATGTGTGGTGCAAAATTCGGTATAGGCCAAGATTGTTGGGCCGGTTCAAAATTGACCATATGTGAAGTCACTGTGTGGTTAAATGTCCTCTCTTATCCTTTGTTCCTTTTTCCTAGACTGTTTTATATATAGCACAGTAGGAGCTCTCTTGTGCTATAGCCAGCATACTGCAGAGTGTGTGTGTGTGTGTGTGTCAGTTTGTTATTGATCAAACGGGCCTTTTCATTTATTTGCTTTCATGGGTTTAGCCATTACTGTAAGTTAAGAGTGGCTTTCAGTGTTGGGATTTAAGTAGAGTGGATATTAAAGAATTCTTAGAACTCAGTAAATAAATGGTCATATGAGAGTGTGACGGGTGTTATCTGTGTCATGGGATTTTGACTAGACCTGTTGTTAATTATGTCTCGCTGCAGATAAATGGGGTAACGCAGTGCATTTGGGTTTCATCGAACCGAGAGGCAAACATTACTGATGTAGCAGCGGTATTTTATTTATTTTTTATTTTTTTGCAAGACTGAGGCAAGAAGCCTACCGCACAGAGGAGCAATCTAAAGCACACAGCTGAGTTTCTATTTTTCATTTCGCTGATAGTATCTTAATAAGACAAAGTGTGCCAGTTCTGTATGTCGGTGAAGCGACTTGGCTTAATTAACAAAACCCTGAGCAATTTATGATGGCAAAAAGACGTGTCCTCAGCCTGTTGTCGCTAAACCAAAGCATGTGGCATATAGTAATAAAACCACAATAAAAATGCACTCTGCAGACTACTAATAAAGTGGCAGATTATCATTTCATCTGTGCTCTGTATCATTAAGTAGCTGTTTATTTCGGTTCATCCAACTGGTTTTTTAACAGTCATTGAATGTAGCAGAGCTGCAGTTGGCAAGCAGGGTAGTAATCTGTCACGGTCCTATCTATCTCTGCCAAAGCAATTGTCATAAATATCTTAAATTCTGCAAATAGTGCTGCTTAGTATTCTTCAGCAAAACCCAGCAGCACAAACTTTCCAAGACTGAACGCTTGCTTTTCTTTATTGTTTATCTCTGCACTTTATTTTCAGATGTACTTTGTACTGTCACATAAAACTACCTCATTGCTCAAACTGCCGCATGATCCCATCACCGGCATCCCTGTGTAGTTTGTTAATCCGCTGAGGTAAACTGCTGAGAGGGCCGGGCAAACTGCTGCCGCTGACACCTGAAGAAGGAGGCCCCGAGTACAGTGAGCGCAAATTAAACCCAGCCGAGAGCATCAAGTTGGGACCAATTATCCGCCGACGTTCGACAGCGACCGCATGTTGCAACGGTAACCGAGATTATCAGCCCCTGAGATGTAGCTCTTAGTTTCAGAGCGGTCCGGCGTGTCCGGCGTGTCCGATAAATTCAGGTCTCGAGGAGCTGCTGAGCTGCAGGTAGTCAATCTATGGGTCTTATCCAGGAGTCAGCTCTCCCCTGACAGTCTCCACCCACCCCTGCTACACTGCAGCATCTCATACATCACTGCAACAAATAGGGCATACATATGGCAGAGTAAGAGAAGGGCAGAGAGTCTATAGACGAGAAAGTTATAGGAAAAACTGCAAACTAAACGGATAAGACTTGCTTCATCCATATTACGAAAAACATTTCTCACCTTCCTTCACTGGTATCTTGTCTGCCAACATTTCTAAAGATACAGTTTTTGAGTTTTCTGCTGCTTCCCTCAGCGGAATTTGAATTTCATTTCTGGTAATAACATTGAAAATTTCAAAAAACAGCATGTTCCAGAAGCTCCAAAAAGACCACCACCATTATAGCTTATTAGCTGTGTTGCATCACGGCGACTAGAAACTGTGTTGTTTCCCAGAGCTTAACCCACAACTCCTCAACAGCTCTTAGGATGTATAATCCCGAGACCGAAATACCTCAGAGAAGAGAATGGTGATGGGAAACGTAACGAGTAATTGACTATAGTGCTATCGCGCTCCGGCAACAACAACTCAAAGATGTTTTCTCCGTATCTGCGTGTGTTGATCAAACAAGATTTATAAGAACATCAACTGCAAATTATGTGAGGCCTACCACTGAGTCAAGCCAGACTACAGCAGGAAGCCCGTATTAAAAAACATGCTCACATCAAAGCGTTATCAGCTTCTATTCCTATCATGCTGCGTTGACTAAGACCCAACACTTGAATCAAAGTCTACAACGTAGCGTTTCCAATTTGGAGCTAACAATGACTTTGAAAAACAGTTAAGTTCAGGGGAAGGCGACTGCAGTTCAGTATGATGAGACGCAAGGAGCTAATTAGCACTTGTGTCCCATGCTGAGATGGCAGAGCTGTGGTTGTTTTGTTGAACAATTGTCAAGATTGCCTATTCTATTCTGTTCTCATTAATGAGATTAGGTTTTTCTCTATGCGTTTGTGAAGCAGAAAGGCGGCGCAACAGACGACGGCGGTGGCTTTTATATCGGATATACGTGACAGGGGAGGAATTTTCGCACGTCATTTACATAAACCTGTGGGAAGCTTCGGCCTCGACTGTTGCCTGTCAGTGGCGGAAATGACTGTCACACTCTGGTGATTCAATCTATGATGCCCCATCATGTACTTCTGAAGATGTTACACTATGCCGGGCTTGAACCGCTCATTTTGTCAAGTGGAGGGTTTAAACTGTGAATGGCCGAAGGGGAAATCATGAGAGGGAAATGACTTTATGTTGAAAGGTGCCACGAGCAGAAAAAAACAGAGAATAGAAGCGAGCAGGTATACGGCGCTGGATGAATAGAGTGTGCCATGCTAAAAAGACATCTCACGGCAGCAATATCCCTCCCAGGAGCAACAATCATTGAATGGTGCTCAGCGCACCACGACCACAGACAAACAAAACGGCTCGCCACTGATCACAGCAACAGCTACTCACGCTGCATAGCTAAAGAGATGATTAATCTGCTTTGCTGAATGCCCTAGAAAAGCTTTCCTGTCTCCAGCCGCTTCAATCTGTTTGTGCGCTGAGATGATCTTAGATATAGGGCTTTTGTTTGTTGAAGCACCTGCTCCCCGGTGCCACCCGCATCGCGTAGGGTAGCCTCCAGCTTCCCGCCGAGGCGCTTGTCCACGGCGTACAGTAATTGCAGTGATCTGCCAAGTGATTAATTGCTTAATAATTGCTGAGGCTATTCTGCGTTCCACTGTGCCGCTGCGATTCCGCTACGCTTTCTGTCAAGTCAACATTATTTAAGCGGCAGTCGTACAAGACAAGTTTTTAAACATAAAACAGGAGATACAAACAGAGACAAGAGCAGGTGGAAGTGAAACAATGCTTAATATAAATAGGAGATGTGAATCGCGTGATGAAAGAAGCAGCAGCTCTGCCAAGATAAAGACTTTTCTAAGTCCATGCTAAGAGTTTTTCATTGTCAAGGATACAGTATTCGGAAGACCTCCGAGTGACGGCTTTTATTTGAAGTGGAAGAAAGAATACAAAAAAAATCGCTCATATGAGGATAAAGACATCCACATGAACAGGAGGTTTTGTTTTCATACAACAAAACCTCTTTTTATATTCATAATGTTGAGCCTCTTGCACATTTCTGACTTGACTTTCCAGCGATTTGCCAGAACGACTGTCCAGCCCTCCATCCGGTCTCTACCCTGAAGGCTTTAATAGAGCTCTGTTCTTAACTGACACTTATCTTAAGGGTGAGGACAGTTCCCAGGATTCATTATGTCACTTTGAGTCGAGCATATCCTTTCGCGAACTAATTACACTGCCCATCAAAGTGGTTACCCTATCAGGCCAAGCTTTGTACCTTCATGTCTATTTGTCTGCCCGCAGACAAGGAGAAGTCGACACGTCTGACCTTGACTTGTCAGATGTCATCTCTTCTGGCAGCTTTAGTTCTCCTCTCTACCTTTAATCCTCCCTCCTTTGAATGACAGAAATGAGCTTAGCAAGACTTCACTGTTTCAAATGCAGAGTGTTGAGTAATTTAAGCGGTTCAAGGAAGAAAAAAAAAACGCCCCAAACCAAAAACGCAACAGAACATTTGATTATCAGGTATAAAGTTTGGTTGAGGGGTGTCACTCAGATGATTCATTCTCCTTTATTTCCACTGTGATGCTCTTCAAAATTTATTGCATACCCTGAGAATAAATACATTAACAGAGTAGCACAAATCAATAGCAATAAAGTGAAAGGAGATGGTGTATAATAGTGCATTTATCCCTCGCTTGAATACAGGCAGTTAATCAGGATCTGCTTGGCCTCTCAATGGTTTCATTTGGATGGGATTAAGCCCCACATTTCTGTCAGGCCTGAGAGATTTAATCGGAGAGAGAGTTCAACTGCGGTGCCGGAGCGAAATCAGACGATGACCAGGCTGGGATTACACTCGCCGATGTGGAAGTCTGATGTCAGGAGCAACCCACATTCTGGCTCTCTCTCTCTTTTTTTTAAATACAAATATAATCTATGCAGGAAAAGTCCTTTGACCAAATGCATAAAAAATGCAGAGATGATGCTAAGGAACTCTATTACTCGGAGGAGTCTCTGAAATATGGATATGTGCCGCAACTAATATGTGCTGCCAGGGTGTCTGTCAGTGAAATTCAACCGCTTGCCTCCCTCCCAGCCTCCATCTGGACATCAGTGGATTACTAACATAAAAAATAAGTCAAAAACTGACTCATAGATGTTATAGCCACCAAACAGACAAATTACTAACTTCCCAAACTGTCGGATTAATCTTTCTGACCCCAACCGTCAGCGATTACGTACAATTATAAAAATGAATAATCTCAGCATTCTACCTGTTGTGATTTGTGTTACAGCGTCGAGCTGGACTTCAAGCAGCAGGAAGATAAGCTCCAGCCCCTGATGAAGAGACTTTGCCCCCTGGACAGCCAACAATGTCCCGCCCTGCCTTATTCCAACGAAGTGTTCACATCCACCCCCAAACGCAAGTCCAAGACAGAGTCCAAAAAGCATGCTCGTTGGAAACTCTGGTTCCTCTGAATAAAACATGAAGGCTTTGGAAACGGCCTTTTTATTGGGCACATTAATCTCAAAATGGTTGAAGGAATATTCAGATGGGGTAATCAACCCCACGAGAACGGATGATGATGGAAACCAGTTGATTTAGGGGTTTCCGAGTTGAGACTGCACGTCAGGTCAGCTGGAGGACAGCAGAGACAAAACACAAAAAAAGAAATACCAACAAAAAAAAAAAAAGAACATTTTCAATTCAGTCTAACCTTTTTCTGGCATGTTTGCTGGACGGGATCGACACGCACCTGCAAACTCTAGGTGAGCTTTGACTTTTGTACATATATTTTTTATCGTGTGTAAAAGTGGACGCTATTTATATGCTGGGTGAATGCACCTCTCACTTTATGTCTATTTTGTGTTGAACGCAATGCACTTTTGGTCTTTTTTTTTTTTTCCCCCTTTAGAGCATATTGCTTGGCAACAAGAGGAGGCGCCATGTGGAGGGTCTTTTATGAGCGAAGCTATAATCTTTGAACGGACATCAGCCCCACCTCCAGCAAAGCACAAACATTTGACTATTGAGGGGAACATGCGTCAAAGACTGAAACGCAGTACAGTACATGACAGTACGTCAGCGCTGTTCTTATAAACCTCCCCCCCCCTTACTCTCCTCTTCTTCCTTATCTGTTACCATCCTGCTCACTTTGTCTGTCTGACTGAACATCTGCCTGCCTTTGCTAATAACCCGTCTCCTCCCTCTCTTTGTAACTCTGTCCCTTTATCTCCCTCCGTCTTTCTTTCCGTCTTTATTTAGCTCACTGTGCAACTAACCGACTAGCCAGCCAACTTTGCCTCAGCCATCCCGTTGCTTTCTGTTCCCAAGCCGACGTAATGTTCAGAATCTATATTTTAGAATATCTTTATAGCAAAGCACTGTGAGATGAAATTTTACTATATATGTCTATGTTTGGGCCCCTCCTCTTGAAGCAGAAACTGTTGTTAAAAATACATCTCGGTTAGGTGAGATTTTTTAACAGCATATATGATGTTTTGACTACTTCTAAGGCAGAATATTTTCTATGATAACTTCAAAGTTGTTCTTTTGTTTTTTTGGAGGGTTGGTTATTGTTATATAGGATGAATTTCCAACAAAAAAAGTAAAGACTATTTTGACATTTGAGTCCACAAAGACTTTGCCTTGCCTCTCGGTCACTCACAGCAAAGCTCCGATGTGAAGTCATGACAAGAATCTATTTTCCGAGTCGCTTGTTTCATGTCCAGTTAGCTCACACTTAAAGTGTTGTTTTGTAATATTGATTTATGCTGCCATTCAACTGCAGATTCCATTCAGCAAAAAATGCAACCACGGTTTGTTATTTTTTCCTCCTTCTTTTTTTTTCTTTTTTTTGCAGAAAACAGTCACAGAACACCAAACACTTGTCTACCAACCCACACAAACAACTGTGCACTGAACTTGCAGCAAGAGCAGAAGGGCTATACACAGTGCTAATGGAGTATGGTAGCAGTCTCACAGAAGAAGAAGAAGAAGAAGAAAAAAAAACCAAGACTTGTAGCCACCAGCTTTGGTCAAGTACAAAACGACAAACAAAACACTGGTGATGTAGCAATGATTCTGAACTTGCACGCTGTTACAAAGCAGGTATTTACTGAATTCTTAGAGTGATTTTTATAAACAGCAGCTCTCATGTAGATTATCGGTACAGTCGACTGTACGAGAAACGTCAGGAAGACACATACTGGACTCCCATCGTTAGATTACAGTAGATATACATTTTTCAGGTCACCATTTTTCATGCAAAGATCTGTACCTTGAGAAAGTGCAATTTAGTGATTATGTGCAATATTATGCATTTTTCTACTGTTTCTACATCACAATTAAAACATTTTCAATCGAAGGCCATCCGGTGTGCTCCTGTGTCTGATGAATGTCGGGAGGCGGCGGAGTTGCGAAGAAGGGAGGAGCTATTTTGGGCTCATGAAGGGAAAAAAAAATCCCAATGTTAGGTGACCCACAGTTGGAACACTTGAGCAGCTTTGGTTGGCGTGACACACTCTGGAATCATCAGCAGAAATGATTAATAACTGTCTGGTTTTTGGAGAAGTGAAGGTGGCAGTTTGTGCATAAACTTCTGAGGAAAAACACTCCCTTTGTTCAGTTGGGTAAAAAAAAAAAAATCCAATCACTGGGTTTAACATTTGTCACATGCACCACTATCGGCAGGTAGAAGCAATGTGGTTGAGGAAATTGTTTTACATTGTGCTGCTTAAATCACTTTTCCGCCAAGGTCCATGGGTATCGTAGAGTGTAGAGATGTACAGGCAAATATAATGGTCATGATATACAGTCGTCCTCAAATATATATTCATACCCTTCCATTAAAGAAAAGGAAAAAATCACAATAGTCACTCAAATAACTAGAAACTGACAAAAGTAATAATAAATAAAAATTTGCTAAATTATAATTTAGTGATATAAGACATTGCTTTTGAATTGTGGTTGAAAAGAATAATTAAAAAAAAAAAAGCTTGGACTGTTTACACCTGATCACAGTTCAGTCTGCACCCAGGAAACAGGAAGTGATGAAGGTCAACAGGAAACTGGAGTTTTGCTTTGATTCAAAATCACAGCTTATCTTGTTCGTGTTTCCTCTAAATTACAAAAAAAAACATCAAAGTCAGAAGTTCATATGACTACATTTTGTAATAACAGTGATCAAAGGAATCAACATGAACAGATGAAGTGCTACGACGAACCTTCATCCAACCAAACTCCATTGAAAAAAGTTCTAATTTAAGTCAGTATTAGTTTACGGGTCCCATCGTGCTTGTTGGCTTTAATATTTCTGTTGAACCACAATTCAAAAGCAATGTCATGACATTCATTACATTTTTATTAATTACTACTTTTGTCAATTCCAACTTATTTCTTTAATGGGAGGGTATGAATACACTAGAGGACGACTGTAAGCCTAAATAACTCAGAAGAGTCCTGTGTTTCCATGTTAAACCACAGGATTCAATAGAAGAGGGGAGAAAAAAGGAACTTACAGGAGCAGCAGCCCCTTTCACTTCGCAGCTCTACGTGACAGCAGACAACTACACCAGCGCTGGGTGTAGTAACAGGCAGGGCTGCATTCACCGGTGTCACACACTCCACATTTCAAGTCTTTTGTGCTTTAGCGAAGCAGAGTCGGACCATGACGAGGGCTCAGCAGCTGTGCGGTTGAGCTCCTTCTTCTCTCTTCTAATGTGATTAGTCTTCAATAGCGAGAAGACACACACACACACACAACCTTCAAGTCCAGGAGGGGAGTGGTAGGAGGGGGGCGTTCTGCTCCATCAAGCTGAGTGACCTGATCCCACATCCATCCCTCTCTCCTATCACCCCTACTGAGGCCGTCTGATGGCTTTCGCTGTTATTTTAACGCTGATCTCAATCATTCCATTCTTATAGCATTTTTTTTCCCCCCATAGCCCATGTTTTTTTTCTACATTTATCTCCCTCAGCCTCATTTTGGCCTTTTTTAAAATTTATTTATTTTAAATCGGAGTAACTGAGCACAATATATATATATACAAACAACACTCCAGAATATATTTTAAATAATTTATTTTAAAAAAGAACATTCAAAGGTAATCAGATCATTTAGATTTTTTGCAAATTAAATAGGTGTTTCTGCAAAAACAAACATGCATCACTTAACATCTTACCACATGATTATATGAAATGCTCTGCCAAAGTAAAGTGCATTTTAATTAGTGAAAATCAAAAGTGACAAATTACGCCATCATCATCATCTTCATTTAGCATGTCATCATTTTTGGCTCACCATGGCTGTTTTTATTTTCACCAGGCATTACTCTTAATTAGTGTGTTTGTTTGTTTTTTCTTTTGGCACAAATCGCATCAGCCTCTACAGTAATTCCAGGCTGAAAAGCAGCTTTTCACTGCCATCTCTGGCTCAAAGAGTCTGTCTCACCACACCCGTGACAGTGATGTTATGGTGCAATGAGTGCGCCCTTGAGTACACTTTTACATCAGGGCGACAAAATGAGAAGTTAAACCACATGGAGATAGAAAAAGAAAAAAGAAAAAAGTGTCTTCAGCTGGTTGTTCTTCTGGATTTATCTGAGGGTCATGGCTGTAAAAGCACAGCCTAACAGTTAGCAGCCCGACTTCATTCTCAGGGCATCGTATATCGCCGTTTTGTCAGATTCGCTGAGGTTTCAGAGATACAAGATGTCCCTTGGCGTCGGTGCCACTTGGATTAATATTTAATGGCAACAGATGTATAGGAGTTGTCCAGTTTAAAAGCGTTGCGTAAGGAGGTTGGAGGGTTGATGGTGGTTGTAAGTCACAGGACTTACATCTTGGAGACTCATGTTCACGTTCTATTATTTTGTCGCTTAGGTTCGTTTTGTGATTTAAGTTTTCATTCATTGTTTTTGCTTGGTTCGGTTCAGGAAAAGATCTCGCTCTGGGTATATCATCTCGACAGGGGCAAAACCAGCCCAGAACATCTGGCTACATCTCATGGCATCTATTTCTGACATTCACAGACATTTACAGAGCTGCTGAACTACACTGCAGGTTGAAGAGTATTAACATTAAACGACACAGTGTGGTGCCAAGGGGTCCTGACAAAGTGCATCGAATTTGGAGTGGAAGTGCACTCACACTGCAATGAAGTGAGGCATTCAAGTGCTTGGTGAACTTATGTATTAATGACTAATACAGTTTTCTGATTTGAATAATGATGGAGATGTTTGTTTAAACGGATTTTATGGAAACATTTCATAGCTGCAATCCAAAGAGCATAGTGCATAAAAACAATCTGGACGATGTGCAGACAACAGCTACATCTCAGTTTCTCTTGACTTTGAAGGCCTCTCTAAGATCAATGCTTTTTGGGTGGTGTTACGAACGCTCTTGAGGAAGACCATGATGTTGGATCCGCCAGTCCCCGTGTTGTTCAGCGCGGTGCCCACACCTCTGAACGGGCATCCCATGGACCGGGCCTGGTTACCAGGCACAATGACATACTTGGTCACAGTGTTGAGGTGATAGCTCCGTAAATCCACCAGCGCGGAGACACAGGAGTCGTAGGCCTGGCAGAGGTCAGAGCTGGAACGGGACAGGATGAAGTCTCGCAGAGATGGACAGATAGACAGAGTCTCTATCAGCTGACGGTGGGCAGGAGGCATGTAATCCCTCATGCGTGTCAGGAAGGCACCTAGATAGGGGGTGAATCAATGGAAAGAGACTTTAAAAGAAGGAAAATAACAGCCTTTCCCGGAAACATTTTCTACCGGAGAAATCGAGCGACTGCACAAACAACGTGATTCATTCATGACAAGCGTCAGAAGGGGCCAAAGGTTGAAGGAAATGCATCTTTACCTGTCTCATCCTCATGCTGGATGCACAGCAAAGCGTCAAAGCACTGAATGGCTGAACTCTGGGCTGCACTTCCACCTGATAATGAAATCGGCTCACTGCTCACACCTTCATACAACAGCCCTCTTGGAAGCATCGGGTTGTCTTTCCACCTAGAACAATTCAAACAAGCAGTGTAAACCACATGGTGCCATTCCAGTTGTTGTCCGCTGAAACATACGGTGCGGAAGAACAATTGAAGGACAGAAGAAGGTAATTTTGATGCCATATAATGAGCTAAATCTGCACCAGATGAGAGAAATATTAAAAGCAATAATGACTTCAGCACGCAGGACACTGTAATAGTCTCAAAACTCACCCTGAGACAAAGATTCTCAGTGTTCCATGAAATGCAGTTGGCTCCACATGATCTGGAAACAGCACAAACTCAGTCCTTCTAATTACCTTGAATTTCCAAGCCTTCATAAAAGGCACAGCATGTAAATTGATTAAATTCATGTTGAGATAGGTTTAATTCAAACTTACTGTGCATGAGTTTGAAAGTTTCCCTCATCTTCTTCAAAGACTGAGTTACTTTGATGAGACCCTTCTGTATGCCGATGAGGTCACAGATCTTCATCGCGTGCATCACCTCCAGGGCCCCCTGGTTAAAGTCGCAAGTTTAAAATCCATCAGTAACTTACAGGGGACAACGGCCCACACACACAGTATGTATATGGGAAGAGGAAATAAAAATGAAAGGGGGACAGATGAGCAGGCTGTAGGATCAGAAAGAGTTAACATGAGAAAGAGGAAGATTGTCCTGTATACTAACCGTTACGCCTGAACTGGCAGCCATCTCAACCAGCAATGACACAATAAAAAATCCCCGGCAACTCTCACCTCCAGGGAAGGAAAATATCAAGTCCATGTTCCTTTTTTTTTTCCAAAAACACATGAGTAAAACATCATATGAGACGACCAGACCACAAAAACATCTGATGAAAGTGAACTACCTCTTTTCCTTCCACTTACCTAATTTCTACATCCCTGAAATGAAAATGAAAGGAAAGAGTCGCAATCATTATCAGTGGAGACACAATTACTTGTAATGTTACTGTTACAATCAAGGAGGCCCTGTGGCCCATAGTAGTAAAGTTTAGACATTAAATTAGAAGGACAAAATCACTCACCCTGTGGGATCCCTTAGCTTCCAGTTGGCTAAAACCGAATCTGCGTACGTCAAGATGGGGGGAAGGCCGAGCCGGCGAGATACCAGCCAGTAAGGCCAGGCCAGGGCTTTGGGGAGAATCTGTCAGGCAAACATAATAGTCAAGTTTCGATCCGGTGGTGCTGCCTTATTGAGATTTCAGTGCTTTTTAGCCATGCTAACGGCATTTGTCTAGGAACTGGTCAACCTCAACAACAAGAAATGTCTTTCCCAGAGGATGAAACCTATTGACTCTGATGTTTCCTCAATCAGCACCAGCTCGATGAAATATAACACCCACTACAACAAGGCTTGGTATAGACGTCAATGGTTCCTAGACAATTTATCACATAACACTTTTCCTCCAGTGCTACCTATTGGATTTCCACATCATCTGTTCTGAACATGTCTTCTTCAGGATAAATTCCTCTTCTTGACTTTTAGTTCGGTGCCATCGTTGGATCAACATTTAAGGTTGTCCCTATCTGCTGAGCTAATGACACTCCCATCTACTGTGCGCTAGCTAAGAAAGGTCGGCACATTAACCAGATAAACTAAGATGGTAAACAGGGTATAAATTGTACCGTCAACAATTTATCATTTTGACTTCCACATGGAGGTTACCTGAAAGCAATCCCACGCCTAAGTGCAGCCTCAGAGAGCTGCTAGCAGGGTGCAGATGGATATTCAACATATGTCACACTGTCAAGGCATCTTTGACAGAAATATATCATTTCTACTATCTGCCATTCCATTGCGATGGTGCTTTACCTGGGCGGGTGCGTGTTGTCCTTCCTGCCATACGTATCCCATGCTGATGAATCCGAGCGCCAAGTGGGCCAGCCTGAGCTCCCGGTGGTTGCTCAAAAGATGTGGACTCAAGACCGGCATCTGAATTGTGGTCACATATCAGGTTTTAATAGTTGGAGTCTGCCCACATTTACATGTACTCTGATTGCGTTTCTTGTTAGCATTGGACAGGCGTTGCTCGCTCTTACGTTATGAACCAGATCCCGCAGTTTACGTGACTCTATCAGATGAGCGAGATTGTTCGCCAGGTCCAACCACACCCGATAATAGTCTGGAAGGTGAGACTAGAAGATAATAAGAATCAAATGACTTGCTCATTGATTTTTGATTGTTTCTTGCGTGGGGGATTTTCATGTAGAGAGTAATCAGCAACATCATCAGCTCATGTTTGCCATGGTGCCTGACCTGTATGTCAGGGAATGACTGGTGCTATCAATCAGAGACAGAAAGCAATTTGAAAGAGGAGGCAGTGAAAAAAAAAAAAGAAAAAAAAATCAGCCAAGCAGAAAACAGGGAGAGCCCAGAAGGGAAAAGCGCTGTATAAACAGACAAGCTGGCTCTTAATGCTAATGATTAATCCTTTAACTAAGATCTGATCATTTGTGTTGATGCTAATGTGTGACATTTAGAAATCTGTCTATTAACTTATATCTCAGGTGTATAAACGTTCAAATTTGAGTCATATCCAGTAAAATATTTCTATCAAATGACTCCCGAGACTTCAAACCACTAACAACAACGTCAACATCTGGCATTGAGGGTGTAATGAACTCTTATGTACAGTGCTGGACAGTGGAGCATGCCCAGTCATGTGAAAGGCTCAATAGAAACTTGAAGAGACAGGCCTTCAGCAGATCAATAAACCTCTATAACCTAACTCAAAAACAAGCATAATTATCTGTTTCAGCCCAGAGGGGGGATGTGTGAGCTGCTGACCAAACAGTTAAATGAAGGAGACAGATAAAGTGGAAAAACCCTCGAGGGTAAACAAAAATATCTCTGCTTGTACAGTATGTACAGTATTGTTGTTGTTAGAGCATTCTGTGACCTTGTTTCATTACTTTTATTGATATATATATATAGCAAAAAAAATAAATAAAAAAAATGTCAATGAAACTTACCAGTGGCTCTTCAAGAACAAATCCAAGCTCTTCAGAAATATCAAACGCATCAAAGTCTGCCTGCAGTGTTTCTCTGCTGTTAGTCTCCATATGCTCCACCGCAGCAGCTCAGATTGAGGAGAGAAATCACTGACACACAGATATCAGTTGTTAAACTTGCTCTGAGCTTTCTTTATTTCTTTCACTACCTTTGTCACATCCCTTTTTGACTGCAAACTCTCAACAGCAAAGAGCCAATCAGATTCCTCGTTCGGTGATGTCAGGAGTTCACAACCAAAACTCGGGGTTTTTTTGTACAGCTTGCATTATACAGAATGCCTTCCCATTTTCAGGCACACGTTCTGCTGAACGAATCAATATCATGTTTTTATGAATCACCCTTTGCAGTTGTGAAAATGACTATATGCGAGCCAGTTACTGACCGGAATACCAAAAGATTTAATCATATACATATTTGCTTTCTGTTCCGAACACAAAATGAATTATTGAAAGAGAAAACAAAAAGAGGCTCAAATGTGTTTTGTAAAATCAGAAGAAAAGGTGTTTGTGGATAAAAGTATTGAACTATTTTCCTTCCACTCCACTATGCTTCTACAAGCAGGTCATTGCATTTGTATTACATATTGACCCAATATTCAGATATTCATCATCGCTGTTGTTCCAAAAGTCCACAATAAGATGGAGAGGTGTAGTTAAAGGACCAGACTGAGACCAAATTTTACAAACTTAACCCACAAACCTCAAAGAGTCAAAATCATCCTTCCAGCTCATTAACTGAGGATGGAGCGCCTCCAAAAAAACAAAAAAATCATCCTTAATGTATTCTGGGTTTTTTGTTTCTCTGGTGGTTGACAAATGACACAACAGAGGGCGTTAGTTTTGAGAAAGGTGTCTCAGACTGGGTCACGTTTTATCAGCAGCTAAACGGCAAAAAAAAAAAACACACAACGTGATGTGAATGCAAATGAATGGTGGCGACGGTATAAGTGGGGCAGTGGCACCGTTTTAGATTTTCCACAGGAAAAGATGTCTCCTGGGCAAGATCATGTAAACTCAGAGGAGTCAATTGAAATATTTATCAACCTTTAATGCATTTTTTTTTGTCTCTTGCACTTTTAAACATAGAGAAATAATAGTATTGGATGGAGAAAGTGTAAACTCACGTGTCTTTGGTTTAATTAAAAAGTTTTTGGTTGACCTGATGTTTAAGTATTTTAATATAATAGATATGTATCTCATCTACATCAACCACAACATTCGTGTATATATTAAACCAACAAGACTAATGAATGAGCTTTAGATGCACTGGTGGACAGATTTTTTTTTTTTTAAACTTTGAACAAGCAAGTAGTTGTTCCCTCTTTTGCTTTCAATTTCTACCTCAAGCAAAATCAATCACCTGCTGGTTCTAGCTTCATATTTATGGTATTGATTAAAACTGTATAAGATACATGTTGTTGTTGTTGAGCAGGTATTTGATCCTGAGGTTTAATATTCATGTAAATCCAGACTCCTGCTGACCACAGACAAGCTTTAATGTATGACGGTCCTGCTTGAAGTACAAGCAGGTGCATTAATATGCTCAATAACATGAAGTTATGCAAAGAATCCTGCATATACAATACATAGAGGCACTTTATAGCAACACAACACATTAGCAAAGTTTTTTGGTGGTGATTGATATTTTTAAGCTGTAATATATATAAAGTTTTAGCTTTTTATGATACGATGATGGAATCAGAAACAGCAGCAGTAATATTCGTCTCAGTCACACAGTGTGACTTGACTGTTTGGTTAGTTACTTACTGCAGATTGTCAGAACATGCAGTACCACAGAAGCTCTGAATGCACTCGATGCAGAGCTGAAAACATCCATTTGTGTTAGAAATCCCACAACAACCTCCTCATTTGATTACTTCAGCTCGTATAAAAAAAAATAAAAGTCAACTGATGACTTAGTATCTAGTGTCAGACGTTTATGACAGCATGAAATTAAACAAGTGGGAATTTTTGATCAGCAGCGAACATGTTTTAAATTTTTATAATTAACTCAAATGCTCAGTTCTGCTTCGTCCCTGTGCTTCCTCTTTGCCCCCTTCTTACTTGAAATGCATTTATTATATGGACTCAAACGCATCTGCTCCACAATCAAGGCCCAGTGGGGGGAACAGTGAGATGCCAAGTAAAAAGAAACTTGTAATGTTGACCAAGGCTGCGAACCAAATGTGAGCCTTTAGGACGGCTGTGCTTTACACTTCACTGCAAGCTCAGTCCAAATAATTAGCAACATCTCATCAGCAGAATGGATTTCCACAAGGTTTAATCGTTGTCTTTGATTCTCGTCTATGGATGGTTTTATACCTTATTGCATAGTCTGATCATAAATATGTAGATCATTTTAAAAGTGATATTCACTATGCACGAGATGGAACTCATCGTCCATACAGAAATACAGCTGGATGTTTTTCTTTCCAGTGGCTGAATCGGTTTCATACATGTGACTGCCTTATGGAGGCCGCTTTGTCCTCTGTCAGCGGGAGGTCCTGGATAAATTCTCAAGGATTTGATCAGGTCTGGAGTTTAGCCCCACATGTGAGCTTCTTTGTCCGACGCCCGCATCACAGCAACATTAGCAGAGCGCTAACCTATCATGTGAGCCCTCCGCTTCTGCCTCCCATTGTCAGCAAGCTTTACCGCCACCGCCAGCAATCTCTCAAACCATTTAACCCTCACAAACAGCAGGAGAGACCGGCAGCGACTGAGAGAGGAGCAGGAGGGATGAAAAGCTGCGGTGCTCGAATTAATTTTCAAGACGAGGCATCACACGCAGGGGGAGCAGAGTGACAGTAAATTCACTCACAGGTGAGGGGACGAATTGGTAAAAGGAACTCGAAGTCAGGGCAGCATCTGTGCAACGCTGGACTTCAAGGTGGGACGGGAGGGGGGCGCCGAGAGCAGCGGGGTCTGAAGCCGAGGTCGTAGATTCGTGTAACATTTCAGTCGCAAATCCTTCGAACCGCCATCCCTCACTTCTTGTTATTTCTTGCTCACTGTCTGACACTCCTCGTCTTGTTTTTCTTTCCTCTCCCACATCCACATTGTCTGGAGGCAAAAGTATGGAGTCCAACTGGCACATCTACTGATGGAAAGAGAGGCGCTCAGCAAAATGCCTTCCTTCATGTGCTCCTTTGAGTGTTAGTTGTGCTACATTATGTATAAGAATGAGATTATCATGTAGTGGAAGGTGTATTCATATTTTCTATAGTTGGAAAAAAAAAAAATCTCATAATGCATAATATTACTGATCCAAGGCTTTCTCGCTTTACAGATGTACAAAATATGGGCATCTAATGCATTATGTGTGGCTTAATGCACATGTGTACAATGGATTTGATTGTGAAGATCTAAATTAAATCAATCAAATTCAAATATATCACAGATTCTCTTTCAAATAATCTACATTTACAATTAGATTTATTTAAATCTCTGCTTTTTTTTTTTTTTTTAATTAACAGATGGGCCTAAAAGGTCTTTGGCTTTGTCATCCCCTCTGGTGAGTTTTTTGCAAATTGCCTTATTTGTAATTCATTCAAAAATAATTCCCCATGCACAGTCATTCCGTGCTTCAGGCGAGCTAAGCAATGCAGCTAAGGTTAAGGACTTGTCTAAACGTTCACTATGAAATGTGTCAAATGATGCGCCATCCAAGTGTCAAACATAAGCCTGTTTAAGTCTGACAGTCCTATCCTCAGGGGAATTTTTTATTTTTTTCTCCCCCCACCCCAAATGTTGCCTAATTCCATTTTTTTTTTTTTTATTTACCCACCGCTGGACTAATTTCACAGCAAATCACTCCTACACACCGCTTCGCTCGGCTTTAACCGCGTTATGTGAAAGTGGCTGGTGCCTAAGAAAGTGCTGCACCATGCTTATTGCGCTGCGCTCATTAACTAAATCCTGGCTGACGTTTTTATACAGAAGTTTTCTCGTAAGCCATCAAACTCCGAATGCCGCTACCGCCGCTGTAATAATTGGATAAGTTTTTCGGGATCTTTGTTTTCTGAGAAAGCCTATGAGAACTATCACAACCTGAGATTTAGAGCTCAGCCTTTTCAGCATGCGGAGAATCGCTTAATTGGGGTTAAACTGGGTCAAATAAGGGTTTTTGTTCATACAAAGGATTACAGTTAAGGTGTCCAAAAAATCTCACTGCGACACTTTAATAACTATAATTAACAAAGTCAATCATATGACTTGATATAAGGCAGCATCTTTATAAAGGTGCATATATTCTGAATAACTGTGAATAATGTGACACAGAGTACAAATCAGATTGTCATTTGTTAAGCTCCGTCCCCTTTATTTATTGTTGCACTGCCTGTCAAAACGTATCCTCATGGTGCATTATTAACAACCACTCACCCTTTTTTTGACATAGTGGCTCTTTTATTTCTCAACAAAGCGACTTGATTTTGCTGTCAGATATCATTAGCTGAAGCTATAACCAGCTAATTAAGCAAACATTAGTTAAGGTGCATGAAAAACCTGCCTCTGCCCAACTTTTTAATGTTCCCAAATGACTCATTTGAACACGAGAATGTTGTTTAAGGATTCTTAAGTGCACATATCTACATAGGGCTGCAGGGTGGCGCAGTTGATAGCACGGTTGCCTCGCAGCAAGAAGGTTCGCGTCCAAGTGGGGGCACCGGAATCTTTCTGCGTGGAGTTTGCATGTTCTCCCCGTACAGTGTGGGTTCTCTCTGGGTTCTCCGGCTTCCTCCCACAAGGTCCAAAATCATGTTGAGGTTAATTGGTGATTCTAAACTGTGTCTGTCTCTAAGTGTAGCCCTGTGATAGACTGGTGACCTGTCCAGGGTGTCCCCTGCCTTCGCCCTAAGTCAGCTGGGATAGACTCCAGCCCCTCCACGACCCTAGTGAGGATTAAGCGGTGTATAGATGATGGATGGATGGACATATCTACATACAGTAAACGCTCGCATGTACCGGTGTGGTCTCTGCAGGATGTGATCCACAGCAGATCGTTATAAAGATGTTCTTTTTCAAACTAATTTAGGGCTGTGGCATTCACTCAACAGCGAGAACGCCATATTGTATAGTTCAAACAACATCATAAACCTTCAATTATCTTCGCTAAAAAGGGGCCTTT